TATAGTGATTAATAGTGGTTAATACTGGCTAATCCTGGTTTATAGTGGCTACTATATGGGTTGCAATATTTTACTGAAATACGGCGATATGAATTCCCGTAGAAACATTTATAAACCATCATTACAATGAGGTCACTATAATTTATCAAGAAACATGGCGATATGACATGGTCAAAACAAAACTGTCAACTCAGTTCATATCAAAATCGTTGGGGTTCATGGGCTATTCATCCAACCAGTCAGATGATTCATAGGTGTGGATCCATCTCCAATGGTTGCGTTTCATGTGTTCAAGAAGACTAAGAATAGGGTATATCAGTTGAAAAAACAGCTAGCAATTTCAAATGGGTGATTGGCAAGAGAACCATCAAGTGGAATCAGCCATTTGGATAAAACGGGCATATAAAACCAACATAAACCAACCATCGCGGAAGCATGATGATCAAGCATGGAATGGAATGGGGTGCCTTATTTGTGGACAAACCCAATTATGACATCAACTGACTCAGCTTTGCAACACAACACATGCTGCTGTTTGGATGGTGTGTCCCAATTTTGAAATCTTCACAGTATTCACATATGATTCATAGTCTTATCACTGGTCTTTTCCCCAATGTTTGGTTGGTAAACAAATCTTAAGCATCCCAATCTTCTGGGTAAGTTATATATAACTATACAATATTTCACTAACTTGAATTAATGCCATTGATTCCAGTGAATGATTCCCCACAATCTAATCATGACTCCAGGCTTCGGGAGAACAGGGTTTGGCCGTGATCAAATTGATCGACCTCGCGGACCCGGATCTTTTCCACGTGGGCGTAGATCTCTTCGTCATGATGGACATGTTGCAGCCCATGGCTTTCCTTCAAATCCGGATCTCAGAGGTCGGAATAGTGAGGGAATGAAGGTCAGTTTGTTCCAATCTCAATTAATCTCAATGACTTACCATCAATCCAGATGGGTGAAATTCCAACCATCAATCCATATTAGGCTGGTGTATGACATATAGCTTTACCATCCCCAAAAAGCCGGATCCCAAGATATCCCAAGCCGCGACCCCCGATCGAAGGTCCTCAAGCTCCTCCAAGCGAAGATTCAACTGAGCGAGGCTTCCATTGGTATCCTGACATTCCGAGATTCCGCTGAGATCCGGCTTGGAGCTGGTTGAGCTGGTTGGAACCCGATGTTTCTTTGATGAGGGGTATCAGCAAAACCTGGAGAACACATGGGAAACTTGGATTGAAACCAAATTGAATGGTGGTTATTATTAACCAAAGTTCGGTTTGAACCCATACACATGGAAACTTAACCACAAAAAGGGTGATTTTGCCAACAAATGAAAATGGGGGGTTCGACCCACCACAATGGATTTGATCATCAGTCTATAAAGAATGAGAATGAGCATATCAACCTTTTTCGGAAAAGACTGTTGGCAAGTGTACATCTTTCTGGGAAAAAGCAGTGATTTACCACCATACATGGTACTGGAACATCTGATATCATGTGATAAACCTCTATTACCCCCCCAAAAAGGGCTGATTCACATGCCAAAACAGCCAAACTGTGTGAAATGTCACGAGTGTCTGCTGTATGTTGCGTTCCATCCTAGCAACAGCAAATCATTAATCCTCTTTTGGTTGATCAACATCATTTCGGGTGGCTTAATTCACTCATATGCCACCCAAACTGGGGTTGATACGTCTTATTTGCTGATTAACCCATGTTTCTTGATTATCCCTCATCTTTCTGACTCAACCTTCATGTGTATCTAATTAAACAGGCCATTGTTGGCGAAATTCATTTTAAATCTCCCACATTCCCCAGGCTAGTGTTGCTCCAACCCCTAGAAAAATCGCGTGGAGGTTCGCCCAAAAAGTCTCCCATGTGTTCCTCTGCAAGCCCCTCCAACCTCCGTCCAGGGTGACACGGCAGATTTTTGGATTTCACCAATGATGGTGTTTTGGTGCTAATAGCCTGTAAATGCCGGTAATAACCAAAACTGGGACCACGATTCAAAATGATAGAGCAGTAGAAAGAACCATCAATCACAGTAGATATTACGGGTTTTGGGCAGTTAAAACCTGATAAAACCCATCAGCAGTGTGGACGAAACAATCCAAGTAAAACCCCTGGGATAATGGAAATCGCATCATGACTGGTACATGGGGATGGCCCTGCCAGTCTTTCGGGATGGCGCGGCACATGGCGCAGATGGATTTGAGGTTTACCATCTTGCGGACAGATCTACATTTGGTATAGCTGAAATGCAGTGTGCCACTTCCAATCCTTGAAATTAGCTAGATCCCACTCAAACAAGACGCATCTGGAAACGGTTTTTTTAAATGGAAAACATCACGTACAACTGGAAAAACATATTCTTCCAAGGGGGAAAAAACATGCTGCCGTCCAAAGTATCCCATGTCTAGAGACAATGGAAGAAAACAGAGAGCCACCAAGATGGCAAACAGGAAGGCACGCAGTACACACAAAACACCACAATAACCTGTGCCGGGCGGCCTTAAGCAATCACACCTGCACAACCCAGAACGCCTGGGATTTTTGGCTAGTTTCTCCATGTTCTCTCAAGAACCACGTGGTGGATGTGTTCATTTTGTCTTTTTACTGGGGGGCGGATTAATATTTCTGAGCTTGGGATGCAACAAAATCAACAGCCAACAATGGAAAACTCGTAAAAACAAAAGTTGGCTAATGTGGATGCCCCCTATTACTTGATCATGATCGTGTTCAATTTGTGCGTAATTTCGAATGATATCATGTGGTTATCTATGTATATATATATATATATCTAAATGTATATATATATATACATATGTATATATATACATATGTATATATATATATATATCTATCTAAATGTATATATATATATATGTGTACACAACTATTTACACATATACAAATGTCTATATATAAATATGTATATATATATATTTATATACGTATGTCAATATATGTGTATTTATCTATATATATATATATACGTATAAGCATATGTTTATATATATATATAGACACGTATCAATATATGTAAATAAATATGTATATATTTATATACATATGTGTATATATATATATATGTGCATATTTATATATGTATATTATACTAAAAAGGCAGTCAACCCCCTGCAATCATCAACCAACTGTCCCCAGCTGCCTCAGCAGTCGCATGTTCAACTTTTTGGCCTCGGATGGGACGGTCGATCTAGAGAGCCCATGGTAAATACTTTTTTGGAGGATCATGAAGTTGGTAAATACTATGATGATCGAACATTTACTTCGGAACTTTGGAACTCATGAGGTTTCTTGAATATTAAAATGATTTCATTTTGGCTCTGGGGATCAGGCTAAATTTGATGGATGGTGGTCGACAAACTGCACGCTCTCTGGTCGGATCCCAAATTTCCTATTAAATATCTTTTTTGAATCATTGAATATCTCATCATAACCATTATCAATCATCATTGACCACTATTAACTACTATTAACTATTTCTGGCAACCATTTTTGGGGCAAACCTTGGGAAAAATTCATTGGGACCCCCACCGCGTCTTCGGCTGCCGCTTTGGCCACGCGTTGTGCGGATCCCAGTTGCTGCAGTGACTGTTCCACCTGTGGCACAGGCGGTGATTATTGGTAGTTCGCGAATATTACCATCAATTTGTTTGTTTTATGTCTCATTATGCAAGGCTATATTCCCAATATACCCCTTCGTTATGCCCACAACATCCCACAACAACGTTATAATCCCCGCCTAAAAATGTCGGAATCAAAAGCAATCAACCAACGCCAAGGTTACTGAAATTCTTAGCTAGTTAAACCCCAATTTTGATGGTTAACTAAATCCTGTTTTCATGTTCTTGTTGGTTGGGCTCCCTTTTTGGTGGTTGAGTCCCAGTTTGCTAACCCACCAACAGCAATGTCTTCAAACGCTATTCAGGCGCCACCTCCACCAGCCGCGAACGAAGCTCCTCCTCCAACTGATGCCGCCAATCCCAAAGCTTGCTATCGATCTGGTCCACCCGTCTCAACCTGTCGGGATGCCAACAGGCTGGTAATGAAACCTGGCTGGCTGGGGAATCCAACAGGCTGGAAGTTTGCAGCTGGGAAAATCATCGGACTCTATGGAAAATTTCCGGCAAGCCATGTGACTGATTACCGGAGGGTACATATGTTTGTAAAACCAAAAAAATGTTTTCCCTCTTAAACCTTTCCTTTAGACCTGAATATTCCTGGGGCCGCAACATACCATAACAAGACCGCGGTTTCATCCACGTAACGCAGGACCCTATGAGATGAGCATCACCCTGCTGTTGCTCAAGTCACCCCTATTTGCGGGACAAATTCATGGCTGGTTAAAAGCGTTAAAGTATAGGATTTCGGCTGCTTAAAGGCACATTCTCGTGGGACATTGTGGGATGTTACCCGAAAAAAACGAAAGATCCAAGTTGAGGCGAAGTTTTGTGGGAATCTGATCCCCGGCCGAACCAAAGAATCAACGAAAGACTGCTAATTCACAGACCTGCAGCAGAATAAACAAATACAATTACAGGCGTGCCTAAAGGGGTATGGCAGATCTTTGTGGGGTCAGTTATCACTTCATCAATCACCACAGGCTGCCCCGCTGTGACTGCATCTCATCGCTCAGCCCCTTGACCTCGGCGATGAATGGAGACCTACCAAATTAAGGCCCTTTGGTAGCCAAACCTGAAACAGGGAACCCCGACAACGAACAATCCATGGGGGATCGGTTGCCAGGTTAGATTTTATGGAAAGGTCTGGAAGGGATCTAGCCAGGAAGAACAGAAATTTGGGCTCCATGAGATTGGATGAGGTTGGCCAACGTGTGGGTGCGGCGCCCATCAACCAGAAAAAATGGCAAACATTCACCAAGTTACCCCCATAGTTGGCAACTGTTTATCAACAGGTGTGCCGGGATACTCTACAGAATTTTAGGCAGGAATGTTTGCTTCATGTAGCTTCACCGTGTGCTCTGCCCAGGTCATGCATGTTGAGGTAAAAACCATCCACCTCTAAGGTTTTCGGTTCCATCATTTTCCAACACATTCACAGTACGGCTGCGTCTTCCACCTCATTCACAGCACGGCTGCGTCTTCCACCTCTTCCTCTTCGAGTGGGACGTCTCTTCTTGTCATTTGACCCGATTTCCCTCACTGTCTCAGGGATGGTCAAACTTGTCAAAGAACTGCAACCATGAAACGCATTCACTCCGATTTCTGTCACTGCGTTGGGGACGTCCAACCTGGTCAAAGAGATGCAGCCGGCCTTTATGCATGTCACAGACTCTGGGATGGTCAAAGTTGTCAGAGAGCTGCAGCCGAAAAAGGCGTTGTACCCAATCTCAGCCACACCGTTTGGTATGTCCAACCTGATCAAAGAGCTGCAACCAGCAAAGGCATGGTTTCCAATGGACGTCACACTGGCAGGAATTGTCAAACTCCTCAAAGCGCTGCATTCGCCAAAGGTGCCATCCTTTATGCATGTCACAGACTCTGGGACGGTCAAACTTGTCAGAGAGCTGCAGCCGAAAAAGGCGTTGTACCCAATCTCAGCCACACCGTTTGGTATGTCCAAACTGGACAAAGAGCTACAACCAGCAAAGGCATGGTTTCCAATAGACGTCACACTGGCAGGAATTGTCAAACTCCTCAAAGAGCTGCAGCCGCCAAAGGTGCTATCCTTTATGCATGTCACAGACTCTGGGATGGTCAAAGTTGTCAGAGAGCTGCAGCGGAAAAAGGCGCCCCCCCCAATCTGTGTCACGGAGTCAGGCAAGGCCAACCTCGTCACAGAGCTGCAGCCGCCAAAGGCATGATTCCCGATCCTAATCATAGAAGATCCCAAAATGCAGAGCTTCTGCAAAGAGCTGCAGCCTTCGAAGGCAAAGTCCCCGATTTGAGCCATGGTGTCCGGGATCAAAAGCCGCAACAAGGAATGGCATCCCTGAAAGGCGTGTGGCCAAATCAATGTTCCTGTAGGAGGAATGCATATGACATGCAACTCCTTCACACTGCAAACAGATTGCCGCAGGCTGGAACACACAATGGCCGGTATGGAGACGAACACAACCTGTAGGGTGCGCGCGGCATGAATTATTTAGTGGTGGGTTGTTTCATCCCCCTCCTTCAAGATATGACTTAACTGGGATCATCGCGGGTAAGGTGGAAAATTTGAAACCAACAAACAGGAATAATCCAGTAAATTACTCTGCGGAACAGTGATTTATAAAGGCAAGTGAAGCTGCGGCCCAACAAAAACGTCACTTTTCTCCACCTGCACATGGGCACCATCCAGAGGAAGAGTCTCTGAGACTGTCGTCTCGGGATCAGTCAGCTGTTCCCCACCAACGATGATACTCGCAGTGCTGAAAAGCCTGGCGACGTCGTCCTCTAATGGATTGAAAGCCTGGGCATCATAGCAAGGTCAGACTGTATGTGAACTGTTTCCCCCCGTTTCCTCATGTCCTAGAACTAGCTTGAAACATACCACTACATAATACTACATACAGGACACGAGTACCACCCTCTTAAGCGAAACTTCAGGAAACATCTTTTTTTGTTGGTCCCAACCAGTACCCGCAGCCTCCAGTTCCTCCTTCAGCTCTTTGATTTTCATCTCTGACGGCACGTCTAAGGCGATCACCTCGCCACTCATCAGTTCTGCAGTGACTTTCATGGCCATGGCGTCGTCACGAAAGGCCAATGGCCACAGGCTGAATCCCGCAGCTTGGCGGGGAAAAAACGGCGGCAATCTGGAGCTACGATCAAAAGGTCTGATCTTGGCACCCCAATGCCCTTAAAGCAAATCAAGTTTGTCCACAGAGCAAGATCCAGTTCCACATCATTTCTGAAAAAAACAAGTCCATCCCGGGAAAAAAAACTAACCCCTAAAACCAAAGGTGACCAAAAGGCTATGGATCAGGGTAATTAGAAACAATTCACAAAATTAGTAATCCTTAGATATCCTTAGTTTTCTTTTACCACCATTTAAGCATCATTCTTGCGGTTAAAACGAAGTCGTCTTCCCATCTTTCTGAGGTGTACCCTGGCCCCAAAATCCCCGTCATCCACATCATCATATACCAAGTCGGTGGATAGGTGTGGATAGCATGGACAAATTGCGCACGCAACGGGAAACCATAGTTCTTCTGAAGAAAACATCAACGAAAATGGGAGCCATGGGGATTTCAGTTGCCAACTTCAAGTTTGCCAGCATCTGTCATGGCAGGATATGGCAGGAATTGCAGCCGCATTGAGCTCCAGAGAGTTCTCGCACAACAGAACCATTGAAGCTGTAAAGAAAAGAAAGAGCAACAGATAAAATGCCATCATGTGCCATGCAATGCCAAAGCAACCATCCAACTTTAGGGGGTCTGGATGTAACATGATGCAACCCATTCCCAACCCATTCCCATGCTGCATCTTCCACTTTTGTCAAAGAAAATCCTCCTGTGCGACGTCTCTTGGCTGGAAAACGCGCATTTTGCGAGGCGCCTGCACCTCCAAAAGATTTTGGAAGCTGCAGGTTTGTCAAAGAAATACAACCATCAAAGGCATGCCGCCCGATCTTCCTCACTGTCTCAGGGATAGTCAAACTTGTCAAAGAACTGCAGCCATCAAAAGCGTGCTCTCCGATTTCTGTCACTGAGTTGGGGATGTCCAACCTGGTCAAAGAGCTGCAGCCAGCAAAGGCATACTTTCCAATAGATGTCACACTGGCAGGAATTGTCAAACTCCTCAAAGCGCTGCATTCGCCAAAGGCGCAATCCTTTATGCATGTCACAGACTCTGGGACGGTCAAACTTGTCAAAGAGCTGCAGCCGAAAAAGGCACCCCCCAATTTCAGTCACACTGTTTGGTATGTCCAAACTGGACAAAGAGCTGCAACCCACGAATGCGGTCTCCCTGTTACTGAGGGGGGGATGGCAAGTTTTGTCAAAGATCTGCAGTCCTCAAAGGCTGAGGGCCCAAGTCGAGTCACCGAGTCCGCAATATCAACAAGCAACAGGGCATGGCAACCTGTAAAGCCACAGGGCGGAATCTCTCTTTCGGGGTAGGGAACCCCTACGTAACGCAAGTCCTCCACATTGCAACCCGCGAGCTCCTTCATGGAACACAGAATGGGAGGTGGTATTCTGAACACGACCTGCAGGTGGTGCGCGGCATGTTCGAGTTGCTAGTGACTTTAACCGACTTCAACCCCCTTAAAGATTTGAGAATAGTATCATTAATCAGACTTAATCAACTGAATGGGATCATCATCTTGGGCTGGTTTCTCGGCGGCGGAGAAACTCGGCTTTAGCACGACTTGCGAAGGCGAAACCTTTGGAATGGACATAGGAATGCCCAACAAACAAAGGGAATAATGGTTGCTGGATACCTACAATACAAATAGGTACATACCAAATTTATCCAAATTTCAGAATGATTCACAAACTCTCATGTGAATCGAATTCGGAAAAGAACGCCATAGCTAGTGCATAGCTAGTGGGAGATTCGGCCTGGTTCTCCCTGCACATTCGCTCTGAAGGGGGAGAATCTCTGACACTATTGCCGATCGTTCAGCGCTTCCCTCAATGAGAATATCCTTGCAGTTGCTTAAGTTAAGCCACCCCCCTCAAAAAAAAAAACTTGGGAAGGAACAAAAAATCATTGATATTCCATTGGTATTCCATAATTATAGCTGGTGGTATTCCATAATTAGGGTGGTACTCCTCCAATAGTCATAATCACTAAAAATCACTAAAAGTAAAGCCAATTCTCCACAGCGCAGAATTTTCGAATGTGTTCGTCCGCCGTGCCCTGGGAATCCTGCGTGGGCGGCCAGGATGGTCCCTCAAAAAACTGCAGGAAGTTATGGGGGGCCCAAGTTCTAGCTCTGTTCCCGGACCGGAGATATATCCAATATAAATAACAGTTATCGAAACCCTTCTGAAACCATTTTTTTAATCTTTCTTTTCCGCCCAAAAAACAAACAAGCCCAAAAACGGCCACTGCCCGCCACACCTTCAGTTCTTCCTTCAACTCTCTGATGGTCATGTCCAAAGGGATGGAGATAGCGATCCGACGGCCGTTCAGCAGTTCTGCATGGAAGTTCATGGTTGCCATGGCGAACGGCGGCTTTTTAAATGACCGATGCTTGCCCTTTTTGAGACCAAATGTCCTCAAAAAAGTGCCAGATACAGGTCCAAAATAGCTCTTACAAGACGCGCTTCATTCACAGAATTCATGACCAAACCGTTCGAGACTTCATCAAAGCATCTTTCAATTGGTGGTCAAGCCAAAAGGATTTCAAACAAAACCACGAAAGTCTTGATTTTCCATATCAAAGTCATCTATGACCCATCTTTTTGAAGAAATACGAAGCAACCACCATGTTTTATGGCAGTTTTCATGGTGTTCAACCCGCATTTTGGTCGTTTCCCCCGTGTTTTTCCGACGTTTTAACCACGGCGGTTTAGTAACACCCACCGCGGGGGCCCCGGACACTGCCGGAGAGCTCCGCCATGCGGCGGTCCACCTTGGGCTGCAAGGCCTCCACCGCACCCACTTTGGCCTCGCTGGGAGATCATTTTTTGGGACTACAATAGATTAAATGGTCAATGATAATGAATATATGGCACTATAGTATCTATGTAGATAATACTCAATAATCATCTATAGTATCTATAGTAATAATGAATAATAATCATAATGAAAAATGAATAATAATGATTAATTAATGATGTCAGATAATATAGATCATTATAATGAATAATAATCATGGATAATGCTTGATGGGACTATAGTATCTATATATATATAAATGATCATTACTATAATTAATAGATTATAACTATTATAGTCCCATTAATGGTCATTAATGGTGATTATAACTATACGGCAAATGCCTGGGTTTTGCCCGGACCCGCAATGACGACGGGCGACGCATCATCATCATCATCATCATCATCAACATCAACATCAACATCATGTTCATCATCATCATCAACATCATCAAACCCTTATTGACGATCTCCAATGAATGTAGAAGTTTAACGGGGGTGGGAGAATTAAACCCTTATTGGAGATCTTCAATGAATGTAGAAGTTTAACGGGGGTGGGAGAATTAAACCCTTATCGAAGATCTTCAATGAATGTAGAAGTTTAACGGGGGTGGGAGAATTAAACCCTTATTGAAGATCTTCAATGAATGTAGAAGTTTAACGGGGGTGGGAGAATTAAACCCTTATTGAAGATCTTCAATGAATGTAGAAGTTTAACGGGGGTGGGAGAATTAAACCCTTATTGGAAGATCTTCAATGAATGTAGAAGTTTAACGGGGGTGGGAGAATTAAACCCTTATTGAAGATCTTCAATGAATGTAGAAGTTTAACGGGGGTGGGAGAATTAAACCCTTATCGAAGATCTTCAATGAATGTAGAAGTTTAACGGGGGTGGGAGAATTAAACCCTTATTGAAGATCTTCAATGAATGTAGAAGTTTAACGGGGGTGGGAGAATTAAACCCTTATTGAAGATCTTCAATGAATGTAGAAGTTTAACGGGGGTGGGAGAATTAAACCCTTATCGAAGATCTTCAATGAATGTAGAAGTTTAACGGGGGTGGGAGAATTAAACCCTTATTGGAGATCTTCAATGAATGTAGAAGTTTAACGGGGGTGGGAGAATTAAACCCTTATTGAAGATCTGGGAGAATTAAACCCTTAATGAATGTAGAAGTTTAACGAGGGTGGGAGTTTAATATTCCCTAAACCCAGGAGTTGCGCGTAACTATAGGACGACGATGATAGATTAATAATCTATTATCATCATAGATAATCGATCCCCCCAAAAAATGACCTGGGGGGTTGGGTGTCCCCATTTTGTAGAGCCAAACCTGACTTTTGGGGCCCCAGACCTCTACAAAATCAGGAACCTGCCACAAATGTAGCAAGGCATCTTCTCTACAAAATCAGGGTACCCAACCCCCTTTTTTTTGGTGCACTCTTGTGATTTTCACAACCGCTGGCCTCTACAAAATGGGGAACCTGGCATGAGCACACATGTAAGCAGAATGGCTACTTCGAACAAAGAAAGCCTTCGCAAATGCAAAAGTCCATTTTGTAGAGGGATGATGTGAAAGAGCCTTGGTCTCCCCGTCTCACCTGAAAACCCTGAAATGTACAAAAATCCATTTTGTAGAGGCAATTTCTGTTCCACATTCCAGATTTTGTAAAATCAATATAATTTGTCAATATTTATGCTCATGAATGTTGACAAACCCCAAAACCTCTACAGAATGAGGAACCTACAGTTTCAGCCATCTACAACATGCATCAAAATGCTCCCACTACAAAATCAGGAACCTGTCCTTGCACACCCTTGCAGGCACTTAGGCTGTCAAAAAAATGGCTTGACGGACCTCTACAGAATGAGGAACCTGCCACAAATCTAGGTGTTTTCTCTACAAAATCAGGGCACCCAACCCCCTGTTTTTTGGTGCACTCTTATGATTTTCAGAAACACTGGCCCCTACAGAGTGGGGAACCTGGCATGAGCAAACATTTAAGCAGAATTGCTACTTGGAAGAAAGAAAACCGTCAAAAATACAAAGGTCCATTTTGTAGAGGGATGATGTGAAAGAACCTTGGTCTCCCCGTCTCACCTGAAAACCTTGAAATGTACAAAAATCCATTTTGTAGAGGCAATTCCTGTTCCACATTTCCAGATTTTGTAAAATCAATATAATTTGTAAATATTTATGCTCATGAATGTTGACAAACCCCAAACCCTCTACAGAATGAGGAACCTACAGTTTCAGCTATCTACAACATGCATCAAAATGCTCCCACTACAAAATCAGGAACCTGTCCTTGCACACCCTTGCAGGCACTTAGGCTGTCAAAAAAATGGCTTGACGGACCTCTACAGAATGAGGAACCTGCCACAAATCTAGGGGTTTTCTCTACAAAATCAGGGCACCCAACCCCCTGTTTTTTGGTGCACTCTTTTGATTTTCAGAAACACTGGCCCCTACAGAGTGGGGAACCTGGCATGAGCAAACATTTAAGCAGAATTGCTACTTGGAAGAAAGAAAACCGTCAAAAATACAAAGGTCCATTTTGTAGAGGGATGATGTGAAAGAACCTTGGTCTCCCCGTCTCACCTGAAAACCCTGAAATGTACAAAAATCCATTTTGTAGAGGCAATTCCTGTTCCACATTTCCAGTTTTTGTAAAATCAATATAATCTGATCTCCCAAAAAATGACCTGAGGGGGGGTTGGGTGTCCCCATTTTGTAGAGCCAAACCTGACTTTTGGGGCCCCAGACCTCTACAAAATCAGGAACCTGCCACAAATGTAGCAAGGCATCTTCTCTACAAAATCAGGGTACCCAACCCCCTTTTTTTTGGTGCACTCTTGTGATTTTCACAACCGCTGGCCTCTACAAAATGGGGAACCTGGCATGAGCACACATGTAAGCAGAATGGCTACTTCGAACAAAGAAAGCCCTCAAACAAGTCGAAAACACATGTTCCACCATTTTTCTCTACAAAATGGGAAACCTGCAAAATCAACATAATGTGTATTTGAAAATTGACAAACCCACAAAACCTCTACAAAATCAGGAACCTACAGTTTCAGCCAATTACAAAAGGTCCCCTCTCCAAAATCAGGAACCTGCATTGAGCATATCTTTGCAGGCACTTAGGCTGTCCAAAAAAATGGTTTTGGCGGACCCCCGGGGGTCCTGATAATGGAGTGGAATTTTTTGGGGGTATGATAATCGTCTAACTGTTCATGATCTTCATAATAGTTTTTGATCATTATTATCATTATAGATCATGAATATAGAAGATCGTGAATTACCATTATGAATGGGATCTTCATTATTATTATTATAGATTATAACTCTTATAGTCCCATTAATGGTCATTAATCTTAATAGATGATATGGGACGATGATAATAATAGTCAATAATAATGATCAATAATAAGGGATAGTCATAATGGATAATAATCATGGATAATAATCATGGATAATAATAATGGAATAGTAATCCATTATAATCTATAATAATGGTAATTAATAATACATATAGTAATATTGTGATTATAATCTATAGTAATTATTATAATGGGACTATTGTTAGATTATTAGCAATCATTATTCATCTCATTATCAAAATAATCCCAATAATGATCATTATGGGATATGGGATAGATCATTATTATATCAATGGGAAGATAATGGCAATAAATGATGTGAGAATCATATTAATGTATCATTATGATCATCATAATGGGGTTATTATTACTAGCAATAGATAGATGATCATATTAATGCGAAGATAATAATAATGGTCAATAATCCCAATATGGTTAGTTTATGTCAATAGATCGATTATCATTATTCATCTCATTATTCTACATATGCATTGAAACACAATGCTCACCATTGTCATCACCAGTATTATGGTTAGTTTCTATGTGTGGTCAGCAAATGTTATAACTCAAAAATGGTAACATACCAACTCTCATATTCCACTACAGTTGTTTATGGTTAGTTGTCATCAATTGGTGGTTAACGTTATAGCCGTGAATATCGTACCTGTTTATAGTTAGTTCATATATGGTTATGGTTCAGTTATTATATATTATAGTATTTTCATTATGGCTAGTTAATACATGTTAACACTATAGTGCATACACCTTCCCAAGTATAGTTGGTCAATATATGGTTGTGATATACTATATCCACTATAACCATAAACATATATTTATACTATAGTTATTAATAAATTCCTGGTAAATAGCCATACTGAAAACATTAATTATAGTATTATACTATTGTTGATATTAACTAACCATATGATAATACCATTATAGTATATATGGTCAGCCAATGGTGAAAATTATGGTTAGTAAATACCAATTAATACCAATGGTCATTTACTAGCCATTATTTGTAACATTATTATTTAACATACCCTCTGGTAAATTAACATAGACCCTGGCAGATAGGGGTTGGAAGATTAGTTTCCATTAAAACTAGGCTATTTTCAGGGTCTATGTTAATTTACGAGAGGGTAGTTGACATTATCTGGTTGGTGGTTCTGAAAAATATTAGTCAGATTGGATCATCATCCCAACTATT